ACTAAAAAAGAGATTTAAAGGAACTTAGTAGAACTTACAAATGAAATTTAATGTTGTTAAAAGTTAAAATGCTAAGAACAGCCCAGATAGTAGATAAAAAACAAGTGAGGAAAAATTTGTGGTCTCTAAGAGAAACCTGAAAAATATCGCAGGTACTACTACATAGCTAGACAAAGATATAGAAAATATGAAACATGTTGAGTCATGGAAGATAGAGAAGACTTCATTAGATTTCCAGAAGAGAACAGATACAAATAATGAAACCTAGGGTCCTGGGATTAAGTCCCGCACTGGACCCCTTGCTCGGTGGGGAACTGGCTTCTCCCTCTGCCTACTCTGCCTGCTCTGCCTGCTGCTCCCCCAGTTTTTGCTCTCTCTCTCTCTCTGACAAATAAATAAATAAAATCTTTTTTAAAAGTAATGAAACCTAATGTCAAAAGAGATAATAACTAAGAGTTTTCCAGTATTGAATTAATTTTTAAAAATCCAGAATTTCCAAATTTGGGATACACAGACAATCCTAAGCCAGAATAAAAAAAAGAAATGCATATTTAGGTACACAGCACTAAAATTACAAAACACTGATGACAAAGAGATGATCTTAAAAGCAATGAGGAAGAAAAGACAGATTACTTACCACGGAATAACACTTGTACTGACATTAGAATTCTTAACAACAAATATGAAGGCCAAAATACATGGAATATCTTCAAACTGCTTAAGGAAAATAACTCTTTAGATTTAGTTATCCAGAAAATATATGCTTTTTACAAATGAGGAGAAACTAAAGACCTTTCTTCTAGACAAACAAAAACTGACAGCTTATTACCAATAAATATAGAATCTCACTACATAAACTCTTGAACAAAACTTAAAAATGAGGAATATAAAAAGGAAACTGATCTCAAGAGGAATGTCTAAGTTTCAGGAAGAAATGCAGAACAAACAAAATTGGTAAATGTAGGGATAAACTCTTATAAACCATTATAGTAATATCTAGATTGGAGAATGGTTTTAAAAAAAAATTATAAAGTCTCAACCTCTAGATGGAAGATGACGTAATATGAGTTAAAATGTACTAAGATATTTTAACACTTTGAATAAAATAATATTGATTAGCTCTAGATTTCAAGCATAAATACTGAAGGGGAATCTCAAAAGAATAAAAATAGAGTGTGAAATTTCCAGTACAATAAAAAATAGAACTTTTCAAGCTTAGTAAGTCTAAGAGGAAGGGAAAAACATAATCACAGAAAAATCAGGATAAATAAAAGTGATTATATATTAATATGTAAATGTTATCATATCAAATATATAACAACAATAAATATTAAAATTATCACAATTTCTTAACCCAAATATATGATATATAATAAAAAAACTTACCTAACTCCTATACATTTAGCAGTAGTAATGTACCACTGAACTGTACACTTAAAATGGCTAAAATGGTCAATTTCATATTATGAATTATTACAAAAAATATTTTTAATTACAAGGTATTCAAAGAAACAAGAAAATGCAATCCACAATGAGGAAAAAAGACATTCAATTAAGCCAACTCAAAACTGACACAGATGAAAGATAAGTGGACAAGGACACTAAAAGTCAGTATATTACTATCCTCCATAAATTCCAAAGGTTTATTCAACATACGGAAGGAATTAAATAGACCAAAATCAGATTTCTAAAGATGAGTACTACAATATGTGAGGTGAAAAATACACTGAATAGAACTAACAGCAGATTATACACTGCAAAAGAAAAAATATTGACCTTGATAATAGAAATTCTGCAAAGATAAAAGGAGAGAAAAGATTACATTAACATGAAAGGAGTATCAGTGAGCTATGGGCCAATTTCAAGAGGCCTGATTACATATATATTTTTTGAGTACCCTGGTTACATATTTAAATTTGGAATACCCAAAGGACAGAAGAGAGAAAAGGGACAGAAAAAATTTGTTGAGAAAATAATAACAAAACCGAGCTGTTTTTAGGTGTTCTAAAATAAAGCATAACCACTAATATATGTATACTACAATGGATTTTTTTAAACTAGAAGAGGTAAAATAAAGAAAAGAGGAAAAATATTAGCCCTCTAGCAAAGCAGAGTGAAAAAAATAGGTGACACAGAACATGGAGAGTAAACATAGAAAACAAGACATACAAATTAAAATTGTAAAAATATGACCAAATACATGTAAGTAACCACAACAAATGTGGATGGTTTAAATTCTTATTAAAAATTTAAATTCTCAAAGAATTAATAAAAATTACCTTTACCCTGCCTATTAAAAAGCTATAGTTTCTTTGTTAAAGGTATACCTAGAAAGAAGGGGGGTTGGGCGGATGGGTGAGACTGGTGATGGGTATTAAGGAGGGTGTGGATTGCATGGAGCACTGGGTGTTATACACAATGAATCATGGAACACCACGTCAACAACTAATGATGTATTGTATGGTGACTAACATAACACAATAAAAAAATAATAATAATATTAAGCATCACATAGAAGTTGAAGAGAGACAGGTGACAACATATCCAGCAAATACTAACGAGTGAAAGGATGGACTGGGCAGCCATGGAGGTAAAGGGTTCAGATTTCCCATCAAGAGAGAATTTCCCATTCACATGCAAGGAGTGCAATCAGCTGATGCCCTCCAGTTGCTAAGACCTTCAGGATCCATTTCAGCTTTTGAGCTGAGGTCATACACTTCCCAGCCAATGACTAAACATTTTGCACTTCTGTTCATGAAAGAGTCTTCTTAGAAGCAATCTTTGCTCCAGGGTTTCTCATTGGTTTGGCTAAGACTTTGGCAGTTCTATGTCTGGATCTGAGGCTTTTGTATCCTGCTTCTTCCCCTTTCTTTTCACAGGTCTCATTCAGATCAGTGTCATGGTCTGAAACCTCTCCCTTCCCTATCCTACTTCCTGCCCCTTTAATCTTACAAACAGAAAACCCCTCTCTCCCAAATAACCTTTACTGCTCCTAACTCCATCTCAGCCTCCACTTCCTGACCTGATACACCTGTTTTAGTTTCTAGATTTCTCCTGATTCAGCAGGTCTAAAGTGGATTTGGGTAATCTATGTAATTTTTTATTTCCCCACATAATTCTCATGTTCAACCACATTTAGCACCCCTGTAGTGGAAGATTGTAATACATTTGTCTCCTATACATCATAATTTAGTATTTAACTCTCTTGAAGTCTTTATTTACATGGTATTTTGACATATATTATCAAGGTAAGGTATAAACACAATTTTGCTTTTTTTGTTTTTCAGCGATACTTAAGCATATATTTTTGAACCCAGTTAACTGTGAGCCTCATCCCACCCAGAGATGGATGAAGAATTAATAAAAAGTCAAGGACATGGTTTGATGTCTATTGTAGTGCACTGTTTGGTAATATTTATATGAGGGGGGGTTAATGGACTGGTTTGGGGGCATAGTCAGATGGTGTCAAAATGGTTTGGTCAAAATTATGTGCTCAATGTGATGAGACTAGTTTACCTCCAAAAGAAACTAAGAATCTTTTTAACGATAAAGCCTACTGTAACCAAAATGTCTGGAGGGAGGAAAACAGTGACAAAACATCTGTCTTAAATGTTTCACATGGCAAAACGGAAGAATGAATGGATTTTGTTTTAATTTCTACCATGATAAAAAAAATTAATGTTTTTCCTGCAGTGGAGAAGCAGACTGGTTCTTTTCATAAACTTCCATAAATAAGATATATTTTTCATAAGATTAAAAACAATTAATATACACATTCTTAAGACTGTATTCCACAGAAAAATTGACAGAAAATCATGTCATCCCTTCACAATTATCTTAACACAGAGAACTTATTTTATGGATACCCAATTTCTTTACAATGCATATTCATCCATCTGCTTATATAGTCAATGAACATCTGTTATTTGTTAAATACCTCACAGTAAAATGTACATCATTAAAACACACAATTTCAATTTATCACATCTGCAAAACTGTTAGGCTGTAGCTATCAATACCTCTGTAGTAATATAACGAGTTCAAAAAGCTAACTCTTCATGTGTTCCCTCTGTCTTAGTCTTGCTCTTTCTCATAAACATGACAGAAAATCATAAATCTGGTTTTATTGGTACAATTCTTATTATAATGTTACATCACATTAGTTACTTTGTTGATTAAAAAAAGAAGTGTCAAATTACAGAAAATAAAATAACAGTATATGGAAAAGCACATTCAAACACAGTTGATGGGAATGAAAACTTATACAATTTGAAATATCAGTCAAAATAAAAATGCAACCCTTTGACCAGGTAATTCCACTCAGGAATATTTTTATTAATATATACAATTATTATTATTATCAAATAAATACAAAGAGATCTACCCACAAGAAACATTCTATGTGTTATTGTTTATAATAGCAAAACAAATAATCTAAATGTCTATCAACAGGTCTATGGTTAACTACTTATTACGTAACCATACAATGGAATCTTTGTAACCATTAAAATGAATAAAACTGCTTTGCTTGTGTTGATATAGATCTCTAAGACTTATCATATTATTAGTAAGTACAGAACAGTATCATGGTATGTTTCCATTCATGTCTTGACAAGCATATGGCTATATATGTAAATAGACTCACAAATGTACATACATACCGGGGGTGTATAGACATACGTACCCTAAAATTTTCTGGAAGATTATATAAAAGCTGTTGATTGTTCCTTCTGCAGAGTTCTTTCGTGAGGAAACTCAGTTTTCATTATCTACTATACTGAAAAATTTGAGTATTTTATCATGAGCATTTGCTTTCTTTGTATGAATATCAATTCTTCAATATCTAGCTAAAAGCAGCTAACATTCTAAAATTTTTCAGTTGTATAAGAATATGAATTAAAACCCTTTAAAATGTGTCTGTCTTCTCAGAATCTTTGAAAAAAAAAAAGAATCTTTGAAAAGCTAATTTCAAAATAGGTTTTCCATCCTAGAACTCTAAGAAAATCAAAGTAGTAGCTGTGCTGTATCTTTATTCATTTGTCCTGCTGTTAGATTTCAGTAACTTATGAAGAACTGTAGAGACACAGCCTTTCAACTTCACTTTGTAACTCCTGAGACCTCTTCACTTACTCACAGCATCATGGAGTGGATTATTCTTCTCTGTATAGCTGACATAAGACTGCATTTCACCCTAAGAAAGAACTCAAAGTCAAAATCAAATTCAAAAAACCAGAAGTTATCAACTACCTATGTTTTTCTCAAAGGTACACATAGCTTTTGTATTTATAAGAGTACTTATATTTGTGTCTCTGGGCTTACATGGATATAAGAGAAAGACTGTTTTCTATTATTTTGTCAAAAAATTTACTGATTACTTAAGTCTCAGTGTGAGATGATAACATTTGCTTGACAGTAGGAATGGAAAAAAATGAAGTAATATGTGAAGTATTTCAAAGGAGAAGGTCAGAGACTTGGTAAGTTACTGGTTATAAGAAATAATGGAACAGGAGAGGATTTAAGCGCAAGAGGGAAATGATGATGGTATGGAGAAAAGGAAGTCAAAGATTGGAGATGGTTTCATGGCAGAGAAAAGACCAATTCAGTTTCTCCAAACGTTACAGTCCAAATTTGACAAATATTATGTACTATATAGGATACAGTTCTTGAAATTACAATATTGTTCAGAATTTATAGAAGTGGTACATGCTATATAATTAACAAAATAAGTACACCTGAGTATTAGCATAATAAATTAGAATTTTTGTTTTTTAAAATACTAATATTGATGTAAGTTATAAATTTCATGGCTATATTTTGACTTTGTGTCTTAAAAGTTTGCAAAAATACTTTTTAATGTTATCTTACCTCAACATCTGAAGTAGCTTGTTTTTTAATTAGCATTTTCTGCAAAAATAAAAATAAGCTGGAGTGAATGTAAAAAACATCATTTTTGAAAAGTGGGAAAACAAAAAAGTATACTATTGATGTGTGTTTTATTTTATATAGAAATCATTATAAGTCGGAAAAGGACTACAAGAAATAGAATGTTGCCTGCAGTTAATACACCTAAACAAGATAATTCTGGATATGGGGAAAGGAAGTGGAATTATGCAACAGAAGCCTAATACATGAAATAAATGTGGCACATCATTTTTGGTACATAAAATGAATTATTGTAATTCTTTTCTCAAATACAGATTAGCATACAATGTCTCTACCAAGATCTTGCCCTACATGTCCTATTTCACTATGCTTGTATGTCTAAGTAACCAAGTAAAATCCCTCTTGTCATTTAGAGTAGTCCAAATATGACACCTTTAGGACACGCTTCTTGATTATGGGAGAGTTGATGTTAGCATATTAATTCTACCCCATCAATTCCATATACCTTACCCCTTCTAGCCCAATAAAGCTGAAGAAAAAGCATTACTCAATACCTGCAGCAACCGATTCTCCAAAGCCCAATGGATCCCACAATGACCAAGGCAACCGAAATAGAGGAGGTGATATATAAAATAGTTAAGTTTAGTGATAATTGGTCACCTGTAAACATAGACACAAAAGTGTATGGTTTATCTGTGGTATATCCAGACAATGAAATATTATTTAGCACTAAAAAGAAATGAGCTATCAAGCCATGAAAAGACATGGAGGAAATTTAAATGCATAGCCCTCAGTGAAAGAAACCAATCTAGCAATGCTACATTCTGTATGATTCCAAGTATATGACATTCTAGAAAAGGCAAAACTATGAAGACAGTGTAAAGATCAGGGGTTTCTAGAGGTTAGCGTGGAGGGAGGGATGAGTAAGTGGAGTATAAAGAACTTATAGAAAGGTGCAACTGCTCCTTGTGAAACTATGACTGATAGATGCCACTTCCACATTTGTTAAAACTCATAGAATGCACACCTAGAGTGAACCATAATGTAAACCACAAACTTTGAGTAGTAATGTTGTGTTAACGTAGGTTCATCAATTCTCACAAATGTACCAGTGTGGCATGGGTGATGTAAAGAGAGGAGGAGACAGTAAGTGTGTTGGGGCAGGGGTAATATGGGAACTCTTTGCACTTTCCACTCAATTTTGCTATGATCCTAAAACTGCCCTGAAAACTAAATTCTAATATATATACATAGATATATATTGAAATATATATATATTGAAAAAGATATCTATGTATATCTTTTAAAATATATACTTTATGTTAAATATTAAATGAATATTTAAATATATAATATAAATACAAATCATATAAATTTTATTATATATATATAACTGCAAAATAAATGTTCAAGGATGTCTCAGAGTTCATGAAGTTCACTTTTGTCATTTTATTTTAAAGAGTTTGATTCATTAATAGTTCAAACCACTGTTATAATAAAATTGCTTTATTAATTCTAATTCTAGGGTGTTTAGCAAGACATCATCCTAAGTAAAGTTTTTGTGGCTTTAAGGATTCATGAATAGTGAATTCATATAGGAGAGACATGCAGACTAGATTTTTCAGTTAATAGTGGGGTGTTTCTCATCCCCATCATTCAGAAGTAAATGGGGAGATGTAAAGGAGGTAATTGGAAAACAACCTAATCCTGAAATCAGCTTTCTTCCAGGTCCTTGAAACTGACATGAGCTCATGGCAGCAACTTTCAATCATTTATAAACTCTGGTGGCAATATCAAGCTCAGTCTGATAAAAGGAGATGTCAACAAAGGAATTGCCAGCTTTGAGAGGGCAGCTTGTGTTTAAATTCAACTTAGTTAACATCTACTGTATTATTAGTTCCAAGCATAGAATTTAATGATTCATCAGTTGCTTATAACACCAAGTGCTCATTACATAATGTACCCTCTTTAATGCCCATAACCCAGTTACACCATTTCCCCCCTATCGCTCCTCCAGCAACCCTCAGTTTGTTTCCTAGCATTGAGTCTCTTGTAGTTTGCCTCTTGCTGTTTTCATCTTGGTTTATTTTTCCTTCCCTTCCTCTATGTTCATCTGTTTTGTTTCTTAAATTCCACATATAACTGCAATCATATATGGTATTTGTCTTTTTCTGACTGACTTATTTATCTTAACATAATACCCTCTAGTTCCATCTACATTGTTGCAAGGGGCAAGATTTCATTCTCTATGATGGCTGAGTAATTCCTCCCCTCTCTCTATATATATATATGCCACACCTTCTTTAGCCATTCACCTGTCGATGGACATCTGGATTCTTTCCATACTTGAGCCATTATGGGCATTGGTGCTATAAACTTTGGGGTGCAGGTGCCCATTTGAATCGCTATGTTTGTATCCTTTAGGTAAATACCTAGTAATATAATTGTGGGGTCGTAGGGTAGCTCTATTTTTAACTTTTTGAAGAATCTCCATACTGTTTTCCAGAGTGGATGCAGCAGTTTGCATTCCCACCAACAGTGTAAGAGGGTCACCCTTTCTCTGCATCCTCACCAACATCTCTTGGTTCCTGTGTTATTAACTTTAGCCATTCTGACTGATATAAGGTGGTATCTCATTGTGGTTTTGATTTATATTTCCCTGATGTGGAGTGATGTTGAGTACTTTTTCGTGTGTCCGTTGGCCATTTTTTTGCCTTTTTTGGAGAAACATCTGTTCATGTCTTCTGCCCATTTCTTCACTGGATTTTTTTAATTTTGGGGGTGTTGAGTTTCATAAGTTCTTTATAGACTTTATATACTAGTCCTTCATCTGATAAGTCATTTGCAAATATCATCCACCATTCTGGCAGTTGTCTTCCAGTTTTGTTGACTGTTTCCTTTGTTACGCAAAAGTGTTTTATCCTGATTAAGTCCCAGTAGTTCATTTTTTCTTTTGTTTCCCTTGCCTTGGAGATGTGTCCAGCAAGAAGTTGCTGTGGCCAAGGTCAAAGAGGGGGTTATCTGTTTTCTCCTGTAAGATTTTGATGGATTCCTGTCTCACATTTAGATCTTTCACCCATTTTAAGAGGCAGTGGTTCTAGGACCTTGCTCCTACTGTACCCTGAATGGGGCTAAGGGCAGCAGATAGAGGTAAGTGGAGGCTAAGTTGGCTAATGTCCTCTCCCTCCACATCCTTTCAACAGTTTGTTTTTTAAACATGGCATTTCTCTCTCTTTTATTTGGAAAAAAATTTTTTTAACGTAAAATCAACAATATTGTTTTGAAACCCTATCTTGCAAATTAATGCATCCTTATTCATTGGAAGTATAGCCACACAGGCTGAGGATCTGCCATGTAAGGAGGCAGGGAGAAGACCCCAGCACTGGCTGAGAGTGAGTGAGACAGTCCCTTCAAGTCTAAGCATCCATAAACATGACAGCATATTCTAATACGAGGTGGTCAGATTGCATACATAAGCATTACTCTCCTCAGTTAATACTGCCAAAATCTTTTTTTTTTAAATCACTTTAATAATGGATATTAGAAAATGATGGTTTAAAGATATGGGTTTTTTCACTTCTCCCTTCTTAAACTTTCCTAAATTATCAACAGAAAATCTTTTTCCATAAAACTTGCAAAGACAAAGAATATGGATGAGATGAGCAGATAAAAATTTTCAACTTGTGTTTAGTGAAAAATGAAGAGAAGAAGGCAAATAATTTAGGGTAAACTAAGTAAGAATCTTATTGCCCATAGAACACCAAGAAGACACTAGAATAGAAAGGGCTAAATACATGATAAAAGGGCAAATCAGGTGTGAAGCATGAATTAAAAGTTGGAAACTTCTTTGAAGGTCTGTATTAAGAAGAGATAGGCGGCCAAGTCCACTCCCACCCGGAGCAGCCAGGTCACCACGTCTCCACACCTTCCTAAACTGCAAGAAACAGGAAGTTTGCCCAGAAAAGGTGAACTGGAGAGATTCCAGGGTCAAGGATCCAAACGTAGTGGAGGGTGGAGAGGAAGACCAGACTGAAGAGAGATATTAAAGAAAAGTCTGAGTTCTGAACAGTCTCTCTCTCTCTCTCTTTCTCTCTCTCTCTCTCTCTCACACACACAAAACACACAAACACACAAACACGTTCCCTTATTTCCTGCTCTCATAACACTAATAGGTTTATTCCTCTAAGACAATAGACTGGAGAGTTATTTTCTGCAAAAACTGGACAATCTCAGAGAAAAGAATTTCAGATAACTAAAGAATCCATATTTAAAAAACTTTTTTTCATTTACTTCCTTTTAGCCTACTGAAACTAACTAGTTGACAGAACCACCCACAGATGACATAGCTTCCAATAAGTTCATTTTTGAATGTTCACTTTGAAATTAATGGATAGCCAAGGATTACCAGAGAATAAAGGAAGGCTTCATGCATAAAACAAAGAGATTAAAACTAGCAAATGTCTGGAAGGCAGAAGGAACTCAGAATAAACAAACATGGAATCAAGCAGAGCACTGTGGGAAAGAGAGTGCCCAGGACAATAGTTGTGCAGCAGGTCTAGTGACAACCCAGGCCAGATTCGAACAAGGGTATGTAAAACTCAAGAAGGGAAGTTGGCAAGAAAAAAGAAATAGAACTGATGGGTTACCCAATAAATTTGACCATGTGGAAATTAAGATTAATAGGAGTTTTCTAATTTTGTCACTGAGCTTAGTGATAATTAATAATAAGTAAATATATTTTTAAGGAAACTAAAGAGTAAAGTTTAAATCAATCATAGAGGTTATTATAATATAGCCAAGAAATTCTAGGAAGAACCTAGAGTATAAATCCCACAAAACTAAAAATATGTAAAGAAAACTTATGAGTGACTTGATCCTTCTTCTAAAAGCACAAAGATTTTTTTTAAATACAATTTATTCTTCTCCTAAATCCATAAGTATTAATTTAAAAGTACACTACCCAAGCCAACTTACGGCTTGTATAGAGTGGATATTAAATTATTAAATTATTTTTCATTTTACTATATTAAATAATAAATTTCATTCTAAAATCTGGCTTTTTGAAAACAAATTTCTGTGTCATTCTTCTGGTTATAACTCTTAATGATGGAGGAGAAAGACATAAGAAAGAGTGTGGGGAGACTATGCTAGAGTGAAATTCTTTACACTCTCCTTTTTCATTCTTCTGTAACTTCCCTGAAAGAATGAACATACAAGCAAACACTGGAATTACTAACCTGTTTTCAGCTCTAAGAACAGACTCTTGTTGCCAGTCACATGGGACACAGAGCAGGACACATTAGACACCTGGCAGTCCTCCCAGTGGCATGTACTCTGGACAGTCACTGTACCATTGCCCAGCAGTTCTTCCTCAGTGTGACAATCTCCCCCCGGGGTCCAGAAGATCTGTGCAGATGGCTTCCCTGCAGCTGCCCTGCACACGATAGTTCAATTGCTGCCTCGAAACAGGGTCACCTTGGGGGCCACTGCAGAGATGCAGGGGAAAATGTTTCAGGCTTAACACGTGGGGTATGGAATACAGAGACACATTTGATTCAGTCTCAGATCTGGTTATGTGATGTACCACAATACGACATGCTCCTTACCTAACACGCGGAGGCAATATGTATGACTGAAATGCCCATCAGGTGCAGCCACTTCACACCTGTAATATCTGTCATGAGTGATGGCCACGGGGTCAATCTGAAGGGCAGGATTCTGATCAGGTCTGGACTCCCAGGATATTCTCGCATCAGTACAGTTTCTTTCACTGGTCTCATTGTTGTCTCTCCTGTAGGCTCTAGTGCAGGGAGGCTGGTCTCTGGGGCTTATTGTCCATGTTACCACCAAAGCTGGGGAGTTGTCAGGAGGACAAAGGAGCACAGCCTTTGTATCCACAGGTACGGACAGAGAAGAGTTAGCTGGACACACACACAAGGAGAATGATGAAAGAAAAGCTTGATTAAAAACACTTCAAGTATTACATTTTCCACAACATATTGCATAAAGTGTACTAACGAATGACTTTGCTGGTCATCCTATTCCAAAATACTAGGTTTACATGAAAAAATTAAACATGCACAAAATGTGTATAACACATTAAACCTAATCCAAAGATAATCCCGTTTTTCTCCTGTATTCGTATTATTAGATAAACTACATTTATTATATGTGTGAAAAATATTTTAAGGGCTTAAAATAGCCTCAGGAGTTTTATTGAAAACAAACAAGAAAACACAATATAAATTAAAGGACAAAGACATCTAAATCTAATCCTTCAGTCTAAGAAGCTATTAGACTTATCTTATAACTCATGCTCCTTCCACAGAAAGTGGAAAAATTGGTGATGTGCTTTCCTCCTCCTAAGTTTTGATCAGAGACAATAAATCAGTAGTATCAGAATGAAATGCCTATACCGAAGGGTACCCCTTTGGACAAACCCAAATAAAAAGTATCACACGGCATTCGGGTTGAACAAACTGGACTTCCTTAAGCTATTCTTTATCTGGAGATTCACAAAGTCAGTAAAATCAACAAACCAACCTTCCTTCCTTCCTTCCTATTCAGTCACACATATACTGCCAAACAGACCAACTGTGAACTTTGTTTACAGATCTTGTTTATGTTTTACCTAATTATTAGGATTAAATGAAGACGGTTACTGCTTTTGCCCATCTTCAGTGTAAAAAGTTAGCCCTGAAACCTACAATTATTCTCCAATCTAGAAGCTCTAGCTCTCCCATGAACACTCATAATGCATCCATGACTGGCTTGGCTGAGAGAGGGTTAAGGGTGTCAGGTACAACATACCTGCAACCCGGGTGAGTGGCAGCTAGCTCATCACCTTAACAGGAGGAGAGCCAGCTGAGGTGGAGCAAAGTTGTTATGTGGATGAAATTCCTAATGCTAAACTGTGCATGTGTGGTCTCTCCTCTCCTCTCCTCCTTTGGTTCATTTGCCTCTTCTGTGATGGACTCAAGCCCTTGCATTTCACAGCCAAATCAAGATCCCATAGCTATAGGAAGCAAGTGGGGATGGATTTTAGAGCAGATCTGAAAGGCAGTTGAATCCATGTTCCTTCCCCCACTGCAAGTGTGTCCCTACTCCGTGCACAGGGACCCTGCAACGTGGCCAAAGCTTAAAGGTGAGCAGCAACACAGGGGCTTGGAGATCAGCTAGAGGTGGGTGTGGGTGAGCACACAGGTGCCCGAGGGCAGGATGCAGAAGATGAACCCAGAAAGAGAAGAGGCTGGTGAGAAGCAGTTTGAGAGTGTTCTCTGCACTTCAGCTTGTGAGCAATCTTAGGCTTTCATATTTTGCCTGATACTTATTCTCAAGATCTGGTGCTATTATTTTAAAGGAACCTATGAGCTGATCAATCAAACATATGCATTTTAACAAGGGCACCATCTCCTGTCAAGAAGCTTCATCAGTGAGGATCCCGTGCACCATGCGTAGTCTCTGCTCTTTCTCCTTGCTCTGCTCTGTGACCTCCAGCATTCCTCCTTCACTCTCAATGAGACTTCTTACCTGATTGCTGTTATTCACCTTTTCCTAATCCTCTTCTTCCTCTTTTCATACCTGTTGTGATAATTTGCCAATGCCCAGTCCCTCCCCCACACTCAATGGGTTGGCCCTTGTCCAACAAATATAATCTCCACATAGCCCTGTGATCAGCTATGGTGACTTCCCCTCCCCCTTCACAGAGGGGTAGCAGGTAGATTCTCATATTTGCTCCAGAACAACAGTAATGTCCCAGCATTGCTGCATCCTGTGTCTCTGACTCCCCTCCAGTCTCCTGCAGCCTTCTGCACACAGACACATCCCTTTTCCTTTCTCTTCTCACTGCCATACCCTACTTTAAGACCCCATCACCACACCTGGGTTACTACAGAAAGACTCCTACCATCTTCTCTGTCTCAAAACTCTCCTCTCCTCAGCTCTCACTTTACCTTGCAGCCAGGTCCAGGATTCTGTAACACAGGGGTGATCCCCTCCACTCTAACACCCTTCAGAGATCTTTCACTGCCTGAAGACAACACTGACATGTCTTTGTGCTGGCTTTGAAAGCCCTCTTTTTCAAATTGACTCACCTTGGCAATCTTATCACCCCTCTGTTGCCCCCACACTTCAGAATGGAAACAGCAAGCACGACTGCATATCTAGGTCTTCCCTCTGGTCCTTGCAGTCTGGGATGCCTGCACAGCACTTCTGTCAATGAAAATGTTTCTCTTCCTTTAAGAGCCAATTCACATGCTGCTTCCTCTGTGATGCCTTCCCAGAGCCTTGGTGCTCAGGCTCCCTCCTCTACATTCCCAGCACACTTGATGTGAGGGCTTATCTCCCCTACTTTATATGGCATCTGTGTTTTTTTCTGGGCTCCCCACAAAACTGAGCCTCTTAGGGTGCTCTGGCAGTGTAGCTCACCTTGCTCATCTCTGTGTCCCCCACAAAGCCTGGCACAGGGCGTGATAGAGAGAGAACTCCAGAATCTTCACATGGATTTGAACTGTTTGGGGGAGGAGGACCGGGTCCCCCACATTGCAGCATTCAGTTCACCACACTCTTCAACTGGGCTCAAGGCTGGCCTCCTGACCAGTCCATCGATATGTTTCTTTTTTTTAAGATTTTATTTATTTGACAGACAGAGATCACAAGTAGGCAGAGAGGCAGGCAGAGTGAGAGGGGGAAGGAGGTTCCCCGCCGAGCAGAGAGCCCAATGTGGGGCTCGATCCCAGGACCCGGAGACCATTACCTGAACCGAAGGCAGAGGCTTTATCCCACTGAGCCATCCAGGTGCCCCCATCAGATATATTTCTAAAGAAGTTCCACTCTTCTCCCCTTTAGTACTGGTCTCTATAAAAAATTAATATCACTTTACCTTCTGCAGGAAGTGTGAGACTTCTCTGCTTGCCTTTCACAGATGAACTAAATGTTGAGGCTAGAAAATATTCAGAGAAAAGTAAAAAAATCAATTTTAGGTGCTTAAAAGGAGTACAAGCCAGTATGTAATCACAAATCTTACAGATATCATGATAGAACATCAGTTAACTATAACTAATTCCATAAAAAGCATTGCAAAATGAAAATTAGAAGTTATTCCATCATTAAGTGGAAAAAACACGTTAACACTTAAAATAATGTTATAATTTCTTAATCAGTGATTTCCCCTTTATGGGACACTATGCTATATACTTGACCACCATTTTCTCCAAGGTATCCCTGCTTCCACTTCTTTCTTAGCCACTGGTTTGGCCCATTATGAGCCAGGCTGAGTAGTGCTTTCTCCAGGTGCCATCCCCAGGATTAAAGTTGTTTAATCCAGTGGTGGGCCTTACCCAGCTTCACAAATAAGATTGCTTTCAGGAAAATTTGGAACCAGATTGAGAAGAATAGTTCATTCCTTTTTACCCCATTTTTCCTACTGTGACTGCTAATTTTATGTGTCAACCTGGCTTGGACATGGTTCCCAGGTATTCAGTTAAACAATATTCTAGATGTTTCTGTAAAGGTAATTTTTTAAGTAAGATTAATATTTAAATGAATAGACTTTCAGTAAACTAAATTACCCTCCATATGTGAGTGGGCCTTGTCCAATCAGTCGAAGGCCTCTAGTGAAAAAAGAGTGGCCTCCTGGGAAAGTGAGTTCTATAGCATATTGCCTTCAGACTCAAACTTCTGTGCTCTCTGGGTCTCTAGCTCTGGCCCACCCTGCAGATTCTGGACTTTCCAAGGCTCTGTAATCATGTGAGTCAATTCTTTAAGATCAATCTCTTTTTTCTCCCCCTCAATTCCTCCTCCATCCTCCTTCCTCTCTCTCTCCTCATCTCTCTCTCTCTGTTATTCTGTTTCTCTGAGGAACTGATTAATACACTCATCTTGGGAAGAATGAACCAGAAGCAGAAAGAGAATGATACTCCTCACCTCACTCGTTTCTAATTCCATAGTTCCTGAGATCCACAAGCATTCCTTCACTTAGGTTCTACAAAGTTTTCTGGGAATCAAAGTACTCCTAATGTACTTCAAATCCAGGTTCTGAAAAATTCTGTATTGAAGTAATTTTTGTAGAAACTTTTTTTTTGAAACTATGATTTATTCTGTGGAATAATCTGTGTGTGCATGAGAAGAATGTATTCTGCTGTTGTTGGAAGGAATGTCCTGTACATGTCTGTTGGGCCACTGCGTCTACAGTGTTGTTCAAGTGCACTACTTCCTTAGTGATTTTATGTCAGAATGATCTATCCATTTTTCAGTGTGGGGTATTACAGTTCCCTATAACCCTGTAGGGTTGTGTCCTTCAGTCTGTTCTTATCTGCTCTACATATTTAGGTGCTCTGATGTTGGATGAATAAATATTTACAAGTGTTATATCCTCTTGATGAATTGACTCCTTTACCATTAGAAAATGACATTCTTTGCCATTAGTTAAAGTTTTTGACTTTAAGTCTCTTTTCTCTTATGTATATATGGCTATCTCTACTCTCTTTTGGTTTTCATTTGCATTGAACACCTTTTTGCATCCCTTCACTTTCAGCCTAGTGTATCCATACAGCTAAAGTCAGTCTCTTACAGGTAGCATATTGTTGACTCATTGTTTCATCTGTTCAGACACTATGTACCTTTTGATTAGAGAACTTAGTCTGTTTCTATTAAGGTAAGTGGTATATATGTACTTGGCATTGCCATTTTGTTCTTTGTTTTCTCACTGCCTTAAAGTCCCTTTACTATTTTCTTCCTCTCTTTCTGTTCCTTTGTGATTTGCTAGTTTTTTGTAGTGGTATGCTTTGATTTCTTTTTCTATATCTTTTGTGTATTTACCAGATGTTTTTCTTCGTAGTTACTGTGAGACTTACATAAAACATCTTGGAATAAGGATGCCTGAGTGGGTCAGTCAGTTAAGCATCCATATCTAGATTTGGCTTGGGTCATGATCTTGGGAGCCTGAGATTGAGCCCTGCGTCTTGTTCCACAATCAGAGGGAAATTTGCTTGATATTCTCTCTCCCTCTCCCTCTGCCCCTCCCCCAGCTCATGTTTTCTCTCTTTCTCTTAAATAAATAATTTTTTATAAAACTACCTTGGACTTATTTTAAGCCAATTATAACTTAGCGCCTTGCATATAATACTGAATACTTTTACTTCTCCTCTCCCCAATTTTTATTAATGTCACAATTTACATATTTTTAATTTGTGTAATCACTAACAGATTATTATAGCCATAATTATTTTTAATGTTTTTCTTTTTAGCATTTGTACTAGAGTAAAAAGTGATTTACATACCAACATTACAGTATTAGACTTTTCTGAATTCAGCTATGTATTTGCCCATTACAATATTAGACTATTCTGAATTCAATTATAAATTTGATTCTATTAGTGTGTTTTACTGTCTATATGTCTTCATTATTCTGATTAGCATCCTCTCATAACAATTTGAAAAGCTCTGTTTAGAATTAACTTTAAGCAAGTCTAGTACTGATGAAGTCCATTTACTTTGTTTTTTTTCTAGGAAATTCTTCATCTCACCTTTATGTCTGCTTTGCCAAGTAAAGTATTCTTCCATGACAGGATTTTTTTTTTTCAGTACTTTGAATTTACCATCCCACTCTCCTGGTCTGCAAAGTTTCTGCTGAGAAATATACTAGTTTTATGGGGCTCCTTCATAGGTGACCAGTCACCTTTCCCCTCCCTCATTCAAGTCTCTCATTTCCATTTGAGTATAATGTGTATCAGTGAAGATTTGTTGTTGTTGTTGTTGTTGTTAGGGGTAATGTAAGATTTTTTTATTTATTTGAGAGAGAGAGAGAGCACAAGCAGGGGGAGTAGCAGAAGGAGAAGGAGAAGCAGGCTCCCAGGACCCTGAGATCATGACCTGAGCTAAAGGCAGACACTTAACTGACTGAGCCACTCAGGCATCCCTCAGTGAAGATTTCTTTAGGTCAGTCGAGTTCTTTGAGCTTCATGGATCTGGATGTTCATTCCCCACAGGGAAGTTGTCTCTTGTTATTACTTTAAATTAGTTTTCTGCTCCTTTCTCTTTTATGCTTATATGGGGCTCCCATGCCTATATTATTTTGTTTGTTGGTATTTCATAAGACCTACAGACTTTCTTCACTCATTTTCATTCTTTTAGTTTGTTTGCTTTTCATCTCTTAGTAGATGGTTTCAAATTATGTCTTTTTTTAGCATTTTATTTATTTATTCAAGCAAGACAGAGTGGGGAGAGAGAGGCAGAGGCAGAGGGAGAAGCAGGCTCCCCCAGGGAGCAGGGAGCTCACCACAGGACTTGGTCCCAGGATCCTGGGATCATGATCTGAGCCAAAGGTAGATGCCCAACCAACTGAGCCACCCAGACACCCTCAAATTATGTCTTTATGTTCACTAATTCTCTCTTCTACTTGACAAATCTGTTCTTGAAGTTCTCTATTGAATTTTTCAGTGCACTCATTGTATTATTCAGCTCCAGAATTTGTGTTTGGTTCTTTGTCATGATTTCTATCTCTTCCTTGAACTTTCCCTTTGTACATGTGTTTTTTTCTAGAGTTTTTTTAATTGTCTATCTGTGTTTTCTTGTAGCTCACTGAGCTTCTTTGAGTAGACTATTTTGTAATTCTTTGTCAGACATACAGATCTCCATTTCTTTGAGATCAGGCACTGGAGCTTTATTTTGTTCCTTGAGTGGTATCATGTTTCCTTGATCTTTTGGAAGATTTGCGCTGTTAGTGTCTTCACAGTTGTAGAAGCTGTCATTCCACCCCCTCCCCCAGTCTTTACTGATTGGCTGCTTCAGAAAAAGATCTTCCCCTGTCAGCCCAACTAGAGATTCTAGCGGGTCTCTCAGATTGTTCCTAAAGAGGCATACCTTCTCCATTCCCCCTGGATCCTTCAGGGTGGAAGTCTTAAGATTATGTGTCTTCTCTCAATCCCACAAAAACAGAATTCTGAAATCCTGCCATTTATGGGTATGGTTTGCCCTATATAATCAAATCAAAGGTAAATGAGTATCTTAGTTTTGCCTGCTGCAACAAAAACACCATAGAGTGGCTTAGATAACAAACATTTTTTTCTCACAGTTTTAGAGGCTGGGAAGTCGAAGATGAAAGCAGTGGCAGATAGGTTGTCCAGTGATAGCCCACTTCCTGGCTTGTAGACAGCAACCTTCTCACTATATTCTCACATGGGAGGGCCAAAGGTAGAGAGAGAAAAAGAAAGCTCACCTGTCTCTCTTCTTATAAGTGTCCTAATCTGGAAGCTTCACCATTATGACCTAATTATTTCCTAAAACTTCGACCTCCAAATAACATCATGGAGATTAGGTTCCAACATATGAATTTGGGCATTCAGTCCATAGCAGTGAGTACAGACTTACGTTAGTTGCCATAACGGCAAATGATGATCTTTCACCACGTTTTTATACTCAAACCAGTTCTCAGACTCAAACCAACACAATTATGAGCTCACATTCCAAAATTTAAAAACCAGGAAAAAACAAGCAACCATAAAATCAGATAATGTACTTTTTTAAAGATTTAAAATTTTTTTTTGTTGGGGGGGAAACAGAGGGGGAGAGAGAAAGAATCTGAAACAGACCCCATACGGAGTACATAGCCCAACATGGGGCTCGATCCCACCACAGAGATCATGACCTGAGCCAGAACCAAGAGTCAGATGCTTAACTGACTCTGTGACCCAGGTGCTCCTGGATAATGTACTTTTTATTGGCTGCCCTCTCTTTTTCCTAAAGAGATGAATAAGATTCAGAACTTCAGGGGTGCCTGGGTGGCTCAGTGGGTTAAAGCCTCTGCCTTCGGCTCAGGTCATGATCTCAGGGTCGTGGGATCGAGCCCCACATCAGGCTCTCTGCTCAGCAGGGAGTCTGCTTCCCCCCAACCTTGCCTGCCTCTCTGCCTGCCTGTGATCTCTCTCTCTGTCAAATAAATAAATAAAATCTTAAAAAAAAAAAAGATTCAGAACTTCAGAGTTTGGAATTATTGAATATAGGGTATAAATTAAATGTGTTGAGAATGTTTAAAGAAATAAAAGAACAAATATATATGTCCTACCTGTCCTCCCAAAAGCCCTAGGCAGATTAAAAGAACACAGCAGAGTTCAATTTACTCATTGTCTACTTTCTCAAACTGGAAAACTAGGATGAAGAACAAACATAAATGATATGAGAAAGGGAGAATTTCAGAAAGTCCTAGATGACATCCTCTTCCAATACAAAGCAGTTTCATCTCCATAAAAAAAATCTGTTGTTTAGTGTAGTTGCCTTTATAAATTATCTCAGCTAGATCTTCTGGTAAACTTGTTATAGCTTCTACATCGACATATCCTGCTTTACCATGTACTTCTATGTTATGGAAATGGCTTCTTTCCTTAAATCTCATGAACTAACCCCTGCTAGCTTCTCACTTTTCTTTTGCAGCTTCCTCAGCTCTCTCCACCTCCACAGAATCAAAGAAAATTAGTACCGTGGTCTAGATTAGGCTTTGGTTTAGGGAAATGTTGGTCTTCTTTCCAGGCCACTGAAACTTTCTCCTTATCAGCAATAAGCCTCTTTCACTTTCTTATCATTAGTGTATTCACTTGAGTAGTGCTTTTGATTTCCTTCAAGAATTTTTCCTTCAGGGGTGCCTGGGTGGCTCAGTGGGTTAAGCCGCTGCCTTCGGCTCAGGTCATGATCTCAGGGTCCTGGGATCAAGTCCCGCATCCGGCTCTCTGCTCAGTGGGGAGCCTGCTTCCCTCTCTCTCCCTCTCTGCCTGCTTCTCTGCCTACTTGTGATCTCTCTCTGTCAAATAAATAAATAAAATCTTTTTAAAAAATAAATAAATAATGAATCCTTAAAAAAAAAAAAAAGAAAGAATTTTTCCTTCACATTCACAACCTGGCTAAATACTTGGCACAAGACACACAAATAGCTTTTGATCTATCTCGATTTTCAACATGTCTTCCTCACAAAGCTTAATCACTTCTAACTTTTGATTTAGTGAAAAGTATATGACTCGTCCTTTCACTTGAACATTTAGGGGTCATTATGAGGTTATCAACTGGCCTAATTTCGACATTGTTGTGTCCTAGGGAAGAGGGAGGCCCAAGGAAAGGGAGAGAGAGGGAGGGAATGGCCAGTCAGTCGAAGAACCATAACACACACAAATATAACTTAAGTTCACCAACTTCTATGGGCATGGTTAGTGACATGGTGAAACAATTACAATAGCAATATTAAAGACCACTGATCATAGATCACCACACAAAATGTAATATAATAATAAAGTTTCAAATATTGCAAGAATTGCCAAAATGTAACACAGTGAGGCAAAATGAACAAAGGCTGTGGAAAAATTATGCTAATACCCTCCATGCAGGGTTGCCACAAACCTTCATTTACTAAAACCACAATGTCTGTGAAGTGCAATAAAGTGAAACACAATAAAACAAGATATGCCCATATACCTAATAAGAGCTTCAAAATACATGAGACAAAGTTGACAGAATTAAATAAAAAATACTGTAGCAGAAATGAAGAATGTCTTTGATGAGCTTATTTATAGATGTGATATGGCTGAGGAAAGAATCTCTAAGCTAGAGAGTATATCAATAGAAACCACCAAAACTGAAAAGCAAAGAGGACACACATACACATACACAGCAAAACAAACAAACAAATAACAACAACAACAACAACAACAAAACTGCATATCCAAGGACTATGGGACACTATGAAAACATGTAAACACATGTAATGGAAAAATCAGAAGGAAAAGAAAGAGAGAAAGGAAGACTAGAAATATCTGAAGAAATTACTGAGAATTTCCTTAAGTTACTCAGATACCAAACCAAAGTTCTAGGAAGGTTCAAGAATACCAAGCAGAATAAATGCCAAGAAAACCTTAGACCTGTGATATTAATTGAAACTACAGAAAATCAAAGATAAAGAAAAAATTGTGAAAAAATCCAGAAAAACAAAAGATCTTATAGAGGAACAAAGATGAGAATTATATCCAACTTCTCCTAGGAAATCAGACAAGAAAAAAGAATGAAATAAAATATTTAACATTGAGTGTCAACTCTACATTTTAAAAAAAGGCAAAGAAAAAAGAAAAATGTAAACTAAATACTTTAAAGTTCTCTGTAGCAATAGGGACACTGTTTTTTACTAAAAAAATTAATTTTTAAAAATGTTAATAGGAAAAGACCTCACCACACTAGAATTCTGTACCCTAGAAAATTACCTTCCCTTCTAAAGGGATGGAGAAATGAAAGTCTTTCTCAAACAAACAAAAATTGAGGTCAGTTGATTCCAGTGGACCTGACTTGCAAGAAATGTTGGCTTCAGGAACACAACAAGGATGTCCACTCTCACCACTGTTGTTCAACATAGTACAGAAGTGCTAGCAACAGCAATCAGACAACAAAAAGAAGTAAAAGGCATTCAAATTGGCAAAGAAGTCAAACTCTCTTCCCAGATGACATAATACTTTATGTGGAAAGCCCAAAAGACTCTATCCCCAAATTACTAGAACTCATACAGCAATTCAGTAATATGGCAGTATACAAAATCATTGCACAGAAATCAGTTGCTTTCTTATACGCTAACAATGAAACTGTAGAAAGGGAAATTAGAGAATCAATTCTATTTGCAATAGCACCAAAACCCATAAGATACCCTAGAATAAACCTAACCAAAGAGGTAAAGGATCCATACTCAAAGAACTACAGAACTCTCATGAAAGAAACTGAAGAAGACACAAAAAGATAGGAAAACATTCCATGATCATGAGTCGGAAGAATAAACATGGTTAAAATGTCTATGCTGCCCAGAACAAGCTATACTTTCAATGCCATCCCAATCAAAACACCATCGGCATTTTTCGAAGTGGTGGAACAAACAATCCTAAAATTTGTATGGAACCAGAAAAGACCTCAAATCGCTAAAGAAATATTGAAAAAGAAAAACAAATCTGGGGGCATCACGTTGCCTGATTTCAAGCTCTATTACAAAGCTGTAACCAACAAGATAATATGGTACTGGCATAAAAACTGACACATTGAATCGATGAAACAATAGAGAGCCCAGAAATAGACATGAACAGGTTTTAATTACACTCTTTTCAATTACATCCTTTTGTTGCCATCTGTTTCCTGCCATGTCTAAATATTTCTCTAGCGTTTGTCATCAGTCAAATCTGTTATTCACCGTCTTTTGAGTTCTCCCCAAGTGTTCCTCGTTCCCTCCCAATTTCTTTCACCTTTTCCTCACCTTAGATTCCCAATTTTCTTTCTCCTAAGAACTGGTTCTCTTCTCTCATAACTAGACATAATATGGAAATGTGGAAGCCAGGGTTTCTCAGAATGTTTTGGAACTTCTTTGGAATGATGGCAAGGAAACAGGATGGATTCAACTTTATTTTCACCTGCCTATGACTGCTCTAAATTCAGTCGCTCTACTCATTTCTTCTACCTGTTCATGTTTCAGGATAAGATCCATCATATAAAGTGTTCTGGTGTGAGCTTGAAATTATTGACTTTGAATAATCATTTATATATTCTTATATTCTCTGACCCTCATTTTCTTAAACAAAATTAATTTTTGTCCCTATTTTAAAATTTAACAACCCCAAAAAGAAACAGGATTTCCTTCTTAACCTGTGTGCTAGAAATATTAGAAATATCAAAGGAGAAAAAAATAATTATACATTAATAAATATAAGGTTCAAAAAACAAAATTTCAAGGAGACAAAAAAAAAATACAAACCAAGAAACTGGAGAAAACACTACATTTTGTCTAGTCACACAAGTTCAGTTTCACTCCATTCCAGGGTCCCCAGTATTTCCCTGGGCTCAGCTAGACAACTAGTCAGTGTATGAATGACATAAGGTAGATATGAAGGTTTGCCAGATAATGTACAAATTTATCACTGTTACTAGAACAAATTGGAACACATTTCATGAGTGGCTAAAGAGCAATCTTGGCACTTCAAAATACATTACATTTTGCTAAAAAATATCACAGCATCAGACTTACCAGATACCAGGATGTTGATGGACATCAGTACCCTCAAAGCTGAAGTCCCCAGAGTATGCATTTGGAATGGTTAGCTGCCGACTGGCCAAGGACAGGAAATATCACTGAGTTTTGTTGAGCAATAAACCAAAAAAGCCAATACTAATGATTCATTGGTTCTTCCACAGTGCTGAAGTGGCACGCAATTTATTTAGAAATTAACATTTTAGGAAACAGAAATTACATATGGAAAAATGCAAAAATATTTAGTGTAAAACTTGATGAATTTTTACATATGCATGAATTCAGATAATGACCTCCAAAACCAAGGTAAGACCATTACACTATTCAAAATTTTCTTTCTTGTTCCTTCTCTGTCAATAGCCCTTCTCCAGAGAGAAACACTGCACTGACATGTATCACCATTTTGCCTAAATATAAATGAAACTGTTCCCATAGTTCATTTTTGTAACACTGTATAGTGTTTTTTGGTCTGACCATGCCATAATTTATTAATCCATTTTGCTGTGCACTTGGATTTTTCAGTTCAAAAATAACACAAATGAAACCTCTATGAACATTTCTGCTTTGTACGTAACTTTTGGTCTGCTTATGCATTTAATGAGTACGTTAAACAAAATTCTTTGGATGAGAATGTTATTACTGTAATGCACTACATGTGTTCATGGGGAAAGGTGGATGTACTTAGACTCCTGTCTGCAAAGCCCATGTGTGATGGCAATTCTGCTGAAGTACTCCGTGGGTAGTCAAGTAAGGATGTATTGTGTCCCTTTAGAGAAGAAGGCAAACTGAGAGACTGTTGAAATAAGCACTGAATGAAACATACTAGATGGTATTACTAATTTTAATAATGTTGGATATTGGACATGTGACCTTTAATGGATGTAGCAATGGTATTAAGTTTGCAATAATCTACCATGAGGAACCATTCATTCTTTGCAGATTTAAGAACCAGGCAAATTGAGCTGTCCAATGCAGAAGCAGTGGGAATAATCACCTATTTATTGATTAGGTCTTACAGAATGTTTCAATCTATCAGAGTATGTATGGCTGCTATTTTAGTCTGTTTGGGCTACTACAACAGAGCACTATAGGCTGGGTGACATATAAACAATAGAAATTTCTTCCTCATACTTGTGTATGCTGGGAAGTCTAAAAACGAGTCACCAGTACATTCAGTACTGCTGAAGACCCGCTTTCTAGTTCATAGACCAATTTTATATTTCATCCTCACATGGTAGAAGGGAAGAACTAGCTTTCTAAGACTCTTTCTAAGGACATTCATCTCATTCACAAAGTCTCTGTCATTATGATCTAATCAGCCCCCAAAGGCCACACCTCCAAATACTGCCTTTCGGAAAAACTGGTTTCAATATGTAAATTTGGATGAGGGGGACACGAATATTCAGTCTAGAGTAGACTGAAAACACAACTTAAGGGTGGACCCTGGAAAGTGTGGCTCAAGTGGCCTATCACTCCCACTGCTCCAAGGTGGCTGCCACCTGGGCTAGTATCTAGCTAGTGGAGTTTAGCCATTGAGGACTGTTGTTTGTTTTTTTATTAACCTTCCAAAACCAAGAAAATCTGGGTAAGGAGAGACATGGAAACCACCAGCAGACACAGCAGCAAGCTGCAGGGTTAAAGCTCCCACTTACCAACAGGCAACAGTTCCTTCTCAAGCTCTTCTCCTGGTGGTATAGAGTTAATTAGTAAGCCAAGAACAGACCACAAGAATCTATGCAAGAATCATGGTGATGCTTTCTTGCTCACAGTGACAAATGATTTATAAGATTGAAAAATTTTTTATTTTGATGGTGGGACACAACAAATGATACTCAGCATAGATGAAAGGCAGACTCTCTGTGACAATTCCATATAAAAGAAGGCTGACATACAGTGTCACACAGAGGATGAACTAGGTTCAGGGTAATAGTGAGAACTGTAGGGAGAAGTCTGTGTATGGCAAGTAGAGCAGAGTTAACTAGATTTCCTGGTTTCCCACACATTGGCTACTTTGCTCTTTTTTTAAGAAAATTATTATATTTAAATTCAATTAATTAACATATCATTAGTTTCAGAGGTAGAGTTCAGTTATTTATCCATTGCATATAATACCCAATCCTCATTACATCAGGTACCCTCCTTAATGCCCATCACCCAGTTACCTCAACACCCACCCCCTCCCCTTCAGCAACCCTCAGTTGCTATAGTTAAGAGTGATTATGGTTTGTCTCTCTCTCTCTGATTTCATCTTATTTTTTTTCTCCCTTCCCTTATGTTCATCTGTTTTACTTCTAAACTCCACATATGAGTGAAATCATGTGATAAATTTCTTTCTCTGATTGATTTATTTCACTTAGCATAATATCCCCTAGTTCCATCCACGTCATTACAAATGTAAGATTTCATTTTCTTTGAGGGTTGAGTAATATTTATATCTATATATATCTGCATAGATATATATAGATATATGTATCTCACACTTTCTTTATCCATTCATCTGTCAATGGACATCAGGGCTTTTTCCGTATTTTAGCTATTATGGACATTGTTGCTATAAACGTTGGTGTGCAGGAGCCCCTTCAGTTCACTGTATCTTTAGGGTAAATACCTAGTAATGCAGTTGCTGGGTCATAGGGTAGCTCTATTTCTAACTTTTTGAGGAACCTCTATACTGTTTTCCACAGTGGCTGTACTAGTTTGCATTCCCCCCCCAACACTGTAAGAGGGTTTTCTTTTAGCCATATCCTTACCAATATTTGTCATTTCCTGACTTGTTAATTTTAGCCATTCTGACTGGTGTGAGGTGCTACCTAACTGTGGTTTTGATTTGTATTTCCTTGACACCAAGTGATGTAGAGCATTTTCTCATGTATCCTTTGGCCATTTGTATGGCTTCCTTAGAGAAATGTCTGCTCATGTCTTCTGCTCATTTCTTGACTGGATTATTTGTTTTTTAGGTGTCAAGTTTGATAAGTTCTTTATAGACCTGGATATTACCTCATAATCTAATAAGACATTTGCAAATATCTTCTCCCATTCTGTAGGTTGTCTTTTGGTTTTGCCGACTGTTTCCTTTGCTGTGCAAAAGATTTTTATCTCGGTGAATTGGCTCATTTGAATAATTTCATGGGCTCCAGAGCACAAGGGCTGTTACTAGTTGTCTGGTGTTGGTCCTGGGACAATTAAGGCGGGTGCATGGTGGCCCAGAGTGGGAATTCTCGCAAGGAAGTTGTTGAGAGGTGGATTTAATCAAGTGTTTAATAAGAAGGGGAACTAACTGGCTTCTAACCAAGGCCTTAAAACTAAATAAAAACAACATTAGGAAAACTCTGTCAAATAGATCTCAGAAAGAAGCAACCCTGCTGACACCATGATCTTGGACTTCTAGCTTTCAGAACTGTGACAGAGTATTTTCTGTCGATTCGGCCACTTAGTTGTGGTACTTTGTTAAGGCAACCCTAGAAAGCTAACACACTTCCAAGCTAATAGTGCCATTTTCATTCCCACCATTGCAGAGAGCCAGATACACGCATCCTCACCACATCTTCCAGCACAGTTTGCTGCTTCTTACATCTCAACTGAGATTAGCTACAATTCAAGTGGTCAACAGCCCTGTGGCTGCCAACCAACATATAGGACATCATCATTCAAGAGCATTATTTGTCCTTATGGTCATTATGATGCTCTAAAATTTTTTGACAAAGGAACAAATATACTTAATCCTTCCTCAGAACTTGAGAATATTGCAAAAAAAATATTCTAATATCTTTCAACATAAAATTTTAAATGGCAGAGATGCAGTTCATAAAACAACAATCAAAATATACATAAATTCTGAATTCTTATGTAATTATTTACTCAAAATTTGCAATAGAACCTAAATGAGTTTGTGCATGACTTTGGTAACAATGGAGTGAAGAAGTAGAAGGAGGAGGAGGAGGAGGAGAGGAGGAGGAGGGAGGAGGGAGGAGGAGGAAGAGGAGGAGAAGGAAAAGAAGAAGGAGGAGGAGGAGAAGAGGAGGAGGAGGAGAGGAGGAGGAGAGGAGGAGGAGGGAGGAGGAGGAGAAGGAAAAGAAGAAGGAGCAGGAGGAGGAGGAGGGGAGGAGGAGGAGGGGAGGAGGAGGAGGAGGAGGGAGAGGAGGAGAGGGAGGAGAATAAGGAGGAGGGGGAGGAGAATAAGGAGGGGGAGGAGACGGAAGAGAAAGAAAATTCCCTTCTCTTTAAGTTTCCTTAAAGTTTCTCTCTCTTTTTTCCTCTCTCTTCCATATGCTACACGTAACTAAAGTGCATTTATCAATCACTTCTACAATCAATTGTCTTAGTCCACTAGGGCTACTATAGAAAAATAACACAAACTTAGTACCAGCAGGGTTCTGGTGAGGCTTCTCTTCCTGGTAGACAGCTGCCTTCTCATCATGTTTTCAGATGGCTTTCTTCTGTGTATGTGCTTGAGTGAAATATACTTCTGGTGTCTCTTTTTCCTTTAAGAATAACAGTTATATTGGATTAGGACCCCATCTTTAAACCACATTAAAGACCTACTTCTTTTTTTTTTTTAATTAATTTATTTATTTTTTAAATAAACATATAATGTATTTTTATCCCCAGGGGTACAGGTCTGTGGATCACCGGGTTTACACATTTTGCAGCACTCATCATAGCACATACCCTCCCCAATGTCCATATCCCCACCACCCTCTCCCGTCCACCCCCCTAGCAACTCTCAGTCTGTTTTGTGAGATTGAGACTTTTATGGTTTGTCTCCCTCCCAATCCCATCTTTTTTCATTTTTTTCTTTTCTAACCCCCCAAACCCCCCACATTGCATCTCCACTTACTCATATTAGGGAGATCATATGGTGGTTGTCTTTCTCTGATTGACTTATTTTGCTAAGCATGATACCCTCTAGTTCCATCCATGCCATCGCAAGTGGCAAGATTTCATTTCTTTTGATGCTGCATAGGATTCCATTGTATATATATACCACTTCTTCTTTATCCGTTCATCTGTTGATGGACATCTAGGTTCTTTCCATAGTTTGGCTATTGTGGACATTGCTGCTATAAACATTCGGGTGCACGTGC